ACAACATGGATGGAACTTGAGAACATTACACTAAATGAAATAAACTGACAGAAACAAAAGTACTGCATGATTTCATATATATATATATATTATGATTTGTGTCTGGATGTCTCCCCAAAGCTTTATGCACTCATGAAGCAGGCTTCCAGAGTTTATGATTGATTCATGGTGCAATGCTGGGATTAAGGGTGTGAGTGCTACACCCGCCCTGGGGTGAATAGTTTGCACACAGTGTAAGGGAGGGAAAGAGGCTGCCTGCAGCCACTCCTCCTATTTGCTCTTGTTGCTTTTGCTCTTTTCCATGGCCTTGAACTGTTGCCCTCTGCCATGTGCCATTCTGCCTTGGAGCCAGTCAAGTATGGACTGAAATCTCCACAACAAGAGAAAAGTAACCAAGACAATATATATATATATGCACACACACATACACACAAATATACAGAGACAGAGAATAAAATAGTGGTGACTATGGAAAGTGGCCAGGCCAGAGAGATACAAGTTAGAGACTAGAAGTGGCAGCCTTGCATGAGGAATAACACATCACAGAAGAATTGGGTTGCTATGGCTAAGATTGAGAATATCCTCCAAAGTTTCACACGTTCAGAGGTGGAGCTCCTGGAAGGGGATTGGATGGTGGGAGCGATCTCATCAGTGGATTTGCCTACCTACGAGTTCAGAGCTGAATGTGCTGTTAGAAAGCGGGGCTAATGGGAGAGGGGGTTCATTGCGGCCGTGACTGGAAGCAGGCACTTCCCCACCCCACTCTTCCCTTCCTCTCACTTCCTAGTTTCTGTGACAGGAGCAGCTGTCCTCTGCTCAGGCCCTTCTCCCAGGCTGCTTCTGCCTGGAGCCAGCTGACTTTGGACTGAAAACGTAAGCCAAAATACAGCCCTCCTTTCTGTCGTAGTACTGAGTGTTTTGTGTTACCAACAGAAGAGTGACTAAAACAATAGAGAATAAAATTGCTAAATGAGATTCTTGCGACAAAAACAAGAAGAAAATAGGCAAATAAATGAGACGATGGTCACTTTAATTGGCCTCACTACAGTAACCTCTTTTCCAAGTATTTGTGTGCAATAACATCATGTAGTAAATCTGAACTGGAAAAAAACTTTAAAAATTGAAACGTAATTCCTGATACATATAAGAAAAAGCAAGGCATGTATTACATGGACAATTAGACATAACTAAACATAGAATTAATGAACTAGAAGATCTCTGAAGAAATTACTCAGAATATAACACTAGGAAAAGATGTCAAACACAAAAAAACCCAGGAAATATGTAGCATAAATTCCATCTTTTAACTCATATCTCGCTATGCTGGAGGGAGGTATCAGAGGTAATGCATAAAGAAGTAATGACATAAATTATTCACCACCTGTCAACAGCAACACATTCCCAAGTCTTCATAAAACCTCTTTAGATACAAACTGAAAGTACTTGTCAGAGCACCAAAGACAAACATGTCTTACATGGAGCCAGAGAAAAAGATAAGAGCACCTCGGAAAAAAATAAAAAGGAAATGACAGCAAATTTTCTACATAGAAAATGAAAAAATATCAGCCAACCAGAACTGTGAAGTCAGAAAAACTATTATTCAAGAGAAAAAGTATGCTTCCATAAAAAGTATTAACATTAGAAATTTTGTGAAGGCCTAAAGGACAGTTCAGTTATTTCTATGCTCTTACATATTCACTCGGTCCTCTCATTTCTGACTGTGGTTCTTATTTGTATGCCTAAGTAGCAATTTTTTTCCACAGAGGAGTGGAAGGGTCACTACTCCTTGATCACATTTCTGGTTGGTCTTATTCCCCATCATAGGAAACCCATTCCTAAGAATTCCTCTACGCTTTTGCCATCTGATATCTTTCTGTGTCACCCAAGATTACCTGCTCACATCCAAACAAGACTAATGCCAGTGTGACCCCGCAGAGCTTGCATTCTGTGGCCCCGGTAACATGTCGCGTGCTCTGTGTTCTACGGAAATTTAAGGCTGAGGTGGAGTTTGGGCCTTTCACAGTCTTCCCACTTCCTGTCTCCATGAATACAGTGGTTGGTGCATGGGACAGATTACCAGGCTGCCACTGGCGGAAGAGGCTGGTCTATTTATTTCCAACTTCTAGGAGAAGAATTTAAGTAGTTTAGTCTATAATTCTCACCTGTTTTTGTTTCCAGTGATAATCTTGCTGCTACTTCTCCCTTAATTCTGATACACCAACCTTTTGCCTCTTTCTTGATTTTTTTTTTTTTTTTTTTTTTGCCTTTTGTGAGACAAGGTCCTGCAATACAGTTCTGGCTGGCCTTGAGCACACTTTGTAGCTTAGGCTGGTCTTGCACTCACAATGATCCTCCTGCCTCAGCCTCCTGAATGCTGGGATTGTAGGTGTGTGCCACCATGCCTGGCTTCTCTTTCTTGATTTAATCTATTTTACTTGTGTTGCATCTCACCAATGAACATCATTGTGTCAAATATAAACCATCATCCAAATAGCAAGGCATTAGTCCAAGCCAATTATTTAGAAGTCTGGAATCTCTGAAATATCTTACCCCCAGTTCATGTGTGTTGGAGTCTGGGGTTGCCAGGAATGCCTGCAATCTTCAAACCTGTCCTGTCCAGCTCCTCAGCTCTTCTCCTCTGATATCCGTTGGTCTCATTGACTTGGGTTTTGTTTCTAATGGGGTTTTTCTCATTTCACACCTGGAGATTTGACCTCCATACTGCCCACTTTCAATTCACTTTTCCCTTTCACACATGTACAGTAGACTTCCTATCGCTGAGTCTGTTAAGAAAGCTCAGGACAGTAAGAAGTTGGTGTCTCACACAAGGATCTTCCCCTGAGACACCCTCCTGGGTGTTTGACCAGTGCAGGTTGCTTGGTCAGACTACAGACAGAACTTTTCTCTCTTGTTTTGGCTTAATCATCTTGTTGTCACTTGTATTCTGATTCCCAATTCTTCAAAGACCCTACTCATTGTTTGTTGTTTTGCTTGTGTCTGTTTGTTTGTTTTGTGTGATTTTTTTTAGGATGGGGTTCTCACTATGTAGTTTAGACTGGCTTAGAACGTGTGGTGATCTTCCTGCTTCTCAGCCTCCTGAGTGCTGAGATTGCAGGCGTATGCCACCATACCTGGGGGCCCTACTCACAGAAGCATGGCACGTAGCCTGGCCTGTGCAGGTCATGAATCATTTTGCCTCATCTCAATGGGCAACTAGACAAGCTTTACTTTAACATTCTGGCAGTGTTTTACCCTAAGACTTACTATTTTTTATTTCTCAGTCAAAGAACACTTCCCCCTACACTGTTTGTTTGATCTTCATTTCTGAAACAGGGTCTTGCTATGTAGCCAGGCTGGCCTCGAACTCACCACTGTCCTGTTCCAGTCTCAAGAGTGCTGAAATTGCACGCGCCATCTCACCGCTTTTCTACACTGTGACTGTAACTGGTCACGTGGCTTCCCAGGGTAAGAATACATTTCCTAGAGTCAATTCATGCAAAGCGCATCAGTTAACCAAGTGCTGTCTGGTGGGACATCAGGAGAGAAGTTGTGTGGCATCTTCATAGACTCTTTTTAAGAAATAGTGTGTGTATCCTTTGTCTTCACCATTCCTTCCACTGTAAGAAACAACATGATATAATCACATCACCAGGCAGAACATGAGACTGAAGAATTTTCATCCTCAACACCATACCATGTCACATAAGCCTTGGAGTGCCAGCCCAGATTTATTTTATTTTACTTTATTCTTTTTTGAGATGGAGTCTCATTATGCAGTCCAGGCCAGCCTCCAACTCCCTGTGAAGTCCAGGTCAGTATTAAACTCAAGATCCTGCTTCAACCCCCCAAATACTGGGAGTATAGGCATGTATCAGCACACCACATTTGAGAACCCAGGTTTTCATGTGAAAAAGAAATACCACTTCAAACTTGATTCTTCAGCCCTTATGTGGGTGAGTTTTTCGCTCACACACCAACTAAATGCTAACATCCTATAAGCTTTGTGGAACTACCTGACCTATTGCTTAAAATCCAATTTTCCTGATCTTACCAACTCTACATTTCACTTCTCTTTCCAGTTTTTCAATCTTTTGTGCGGCTCATCCTGAGAATCTCTCTCCATTCTGCCCTTACTTTTGCCCTTCAGTCTGAAACAGAAACTAGTCTTTATAGGTCTCTGGAGTTTTTGTTTGTTTGGTTTTTTGTTTGTTTGTTTTTCTTCTGGGCTCAGTGATTCCACAAATTTCCTTCCACTGACTGCCTGGTCCCATTCATTTCTGGGTTTTCTGGACCCAGGACACAGCCTCTGTGGCAGAACTGGAGACACTTCATTCCTTCGAGACACAGGCTCATGCCTTCCGCTTGTTCTCTGATTGTCCGTGCAGTGAAAGGCTATGGACACTTCTACCTCACTTTGCTTTTCCACCTAGGACAGAGGGAAGAATACAGAAAAAAGCTCATTTCCTTGGAAAGAGAATATACTGAAGGCACACAAAGGAGGAATATGAAAGTGGAAAATTTCTTATCTGTCAAAAACATCTTCTCTTGGACTGACACTTCACCTTCCCCCCTTTGAAAGGTGGGGTGCCGCCTCTGCTGTCGTGTGGAATTGACCTTCTCCTTTGGCCGCCTTCCCTGAGATACTCCTCAGTTCGCTCATATAAATGTGTCTATTATTTTCAGTAGCATCAGTGGACAATAAAAGGTACGCCCTTACCTCGGTCCCAGAACAGAATGTCCATTATCATTAATGATGATCATAACCAGAGAAAGGAGTCAATTGACCTCTTCGCATATGCCCTCAAGCTCATAACGGGTTCCCTGGGGACTTGCTATGCATTCCACAAGACAGGATTAATTCAGCATAAAAATATTCCCTGGCCTATTTGAACTTCAAGTAGAATACAAAATGACCTACTTGGACTATATATTTAACTTTTCTCACAGTTACTATTTTTTCCAACTCTTTGTTCATTACCTTGCCAGAGTGTTTATGTGAAAGAATTCTTAAGCTCTTACATCTACACCTGTACTGGAATGTTAATAATGTTTTTACATCACCAGATTGTCACAAAATAGCCCTGACAGGAAGTAAGCAGGAAATTAATATTATACTGAAATTTCTCCCTAAAGTTTCTATAATTGGCTCAGGTCAGAGAAAGAAAGAAAGAAAGAAAGAAAGAAAGAAAGAAAGAAAGAAAGAAAGAAAGAAAGAAAGAAAGAGTAATGTTAGAAACACAGAAGCAAACTTTTTAAAATTCCAGTGGTGTGAATTTCTTATTTGATAGTATGCTGGGACACAAAGAGGCTGTCCAGGTGGAATAAGATTTATAAAATGGAAGACTAATGTTTTTTTAAAAAGAATCAGGTTAAATTTTCAAAATGCAGCACAGTTGGTCTATTAGATAATCTAAAAAATAGATGATTTCACCAATTGTGATTACTCCTTAAGCCTCTAAATCAGAAATATTTCAAGCAATCTCTGAAAAAGAATGCAGTTCATGTTAACTCTACTTTTATTGTTATGCTTCAATTTGAGCAAATCATAATCACATGCTTAAACAACTCTTCTATCCTGAATAGTTCTGATCCCATAAAAATCCAAAAGTGGTCCTTGTGGCATTATTGTATCTTCACTTCATGTTTTTTAAAGAAAAGCATAAATTTACCAGAGGAGGAGTGACCTATTTGTTATTTTACCACTTACTGCAAGCACGGTAGTGTTAGACCACATTAGGCATTCACCACTCTGTAAGCTAGTTAAATCGTGTTTAGGATTAGGTAGTATGGTGGTATTCTTAAAATACAAGGATCCAGATCCTTGAGGTATACCATAGAGCAGTGTACCATAAGCATAGATCTTATTTATACAATGTAACATAGACATATTAACGGGAAATTAGTATAAGTAATTACTTGGCACTAATGCAAAATTACCAATTGGTAATGGCTTGATATTTAAATAATAAGCCTTTTATTTTTAAATGTAAAGGTATTGAAGAATTTATTCACAAGTCTTTATGTCCCCAATCTTCCAAAAACTTTGCGGGGGGCAGGGTAGTAGAGATTAAACTCTGGAGCTCCCTGATACGAGGCAAAGGCTCTACCACTGAACTATGTCCTTGGCCCTAAAGTCTTATTTATGAAGAAAGATAAAACAAGAAAAACTACACTACTAGCTAATGACAACCAAATATGTTTAAAAACTTTGAAAAACGTAATTTGGACAATGACCAGATAAATGAACTTTAGATATTTTCAGTGACATAGAATACGGACTTTGTACCAGACATAGGGGAACCTGTTACGATATAAGCAAACTGAGTTTTACTCACTAGCTTCAGTAGAAAAGAGTGCAAGGAATGGATTCTGAGTTGCCATCTCATCATAGCAAGTAAAGGCACAATCTGTTTAGGATATGGACTCAGAAATCCTTCAAGCAATAGGGAAGAAAAGTGAGTCTTTGAACTGGCTGATTTTAGATAAGGATTTATGCAGTGAAGAGAGGTTCTGAACTGAGATGTAAGTGTTCTGAAAGTTGTAAGATACATTTCTAATTGCACAGCTGACAATGAGGGGAGTTTTTACCGTTTCCAGTTGTATTAGGTTTTGGGTATCTTTTGACCAGGCCAAGGTGTTGACCACAATAGCTGATTTACAGCACTATTTTGATCTTTAATATCATAATATCATTATCTTAAAAAGAAAACAGAAAAACAGCTTCAAGCCAAACCTGGATGTTATCTTTTATTTGTTTGTTGAAGGGTGAGTTTTATGAACACCTAATGTGATGATGTCTGCCAAAGAGCATGAAAGAGAGGAGGTGCAGCAGAGCAAGGAAAAAGAAAGATGACCGAACATGGTGGGATGCTTCAAAGCCACCTGCAGAAACTACTGAACTTGGGAGGAGAGAGGATGACCAAATCTACTAGGATCTCCTTTGGAGATGGTTTAAATATGAAGTCACTGTACAGGAGTAGTCTAAAACTTGACATTTACTTAACTGCAACACAAAGTGTTGTTATTGGCACAGATAGTGACTTCACTGTCTGGTACAGTGTCTAAAACTACTAGAGTTGCTACTGTCAAGTGGCTGAAATCTCTTAGATTTGTTCTTAAGCTTTGAGAGCTGTGGAAGCATTATTTAAAATTTCAAGTAAGATTTAGAGTAAATTTCTGATCCCTATTTTAATCGTATCATATTCGTTGTAGAAATCACCACGCAGACGGTATGCATGAAAAAGTAAATCAGTGTTTCCACTGG